GTTATATTATTTACTGTTGTTGATGTTACAAGTTTTGATATGATACTCAGTTGATCTATAATATGGTGCTTGGTTCCTGATTTTTTTTAATTTTTGTGCTGATAGATCAAGAAAGGATTTTACATCATTTGATTCTTTAGTTTTAGCTGGCTGTTCTCTATTAAGTAATCTTGTCTTTAAAATTATTGCATGTATATGTTTACAGACACTTCCTTTAATCGTGGCATCTGTGCATGTGCATACAAATGCATCGTTACAAATTTTGCACCATTTACAAACAATGTTACAATTAATGCATTGTGTATGTATTTGAGTAACAGTATATTCAAGAGTAGGGTCACTTTCTGAAATCACATGCCAAGAAAACTCATTGATTTCTGTGATATTATTAGCTGGAAAATTTATTGCTCTGTTGTGTCGTAAATTTGTTTGGTTGATCTTTGATGTGTTTGGCCCTTTTGTTGTTTTGATAAATCTCTGGAACCATTTATCTTGCACCATATTAATAAGCTTCGCAATGCACCTATCAACCCTCTTGTTTTTCAATCCATCAAGATAAGAATATTTTAAAACTCGATGCAGTGCTTCAAGATGATTGTTAGTTGTGATGTTACATCTTTTTCTATAACATTTAGCCCACAACTCGCATCTGTTTGCATAATTTGAAGCAAAATAATTAGCAAACTTGTCTGTATCTCTATCAGCAAAGAGTTTGCTGAGGAAATCAGATATCAGTGCTTCAAATTCTTTTATATCATGACATTCAGATACTACATTTAAAAATTTCAAAACTTCCTTTCGCTTTGAGGGGATAATTGAATTTGCTGCTTGCAGCCATGCCTTTTTAACGTGCCAGGTGCATAGAATCCTAAATTTGGCATCACACATTACTGATGTCCATGCAGTATAATATACTGGTGCATCATCACTCATAAAGCAGTTTACAGACAGCAGTCCAACTTTGTCCCTAATACACTGAAAAAATTTTTGCATTGAACCTAAATTTACTCTATTGCTTAGGCAAAATGCAGCAGAAAATCCTGAATTAAACTCGTCTATGACTAAAACTGTCGATAATTGAAAATCGTAAGCATTAGTCCCATGTGTGCTATCGATGCATATGCTATCGGATCCAAACTTTAAAAGCATATGCTTTTGAACATTTGTCATTATGATGATGCAGAAGTCACTAATTTCCAAGTGCTGATCTGCTGCTTCTCCTTGGAATTTTACAAAAAGAACTGATTATCATCTAAACATTTCATTTTTTCTATCCAGATCCTTAAACTGACAGCATCAGTTGGATGATATTGTTCATCATTACCAATACAGTAAGAATTAGAAATGTTATGTATGTCTTTTTTTGTCAATAAATGCTGTAAATATGCTATATCAAACTTTAAAAGCAAATGCTTTTGAACATTTGTCATTATGATGATGCAGAAGTGCACTAATTTCAAGTGCTGATCTGCTGCTTCTCCTTGGAATTTTACAAAAAGAACTGAACTGATTATCATCTAAACATTTCATTTTTTTTTCTATCATCATCTTAAACTTGACAGCATCAGTTGCATCATGATATTGATGATCATCATTACATCAATACATTAAGAATTAAGAAATGTTATGTATGTCTTTTTTTGTCAATAAATGCTCCCTGTAAATGTCTTCTTTAATACTATTCCTTGTGGAATCTAATATTTTCTGTGGTGGAATGCCTTCATTTAACTTACCTGAAAATATTGCATTTATATGATAATGTTGTATAATAATGTCTGTTTTATATTGAATTTCACAATCAAGTTCATAAAGAAACTTACCTGCAATCACTTCTCGCAAATCTTTTGTTAATGGCAAATGTTCTAGATCTACTGTGTGTCCCACGTGTGTTTGGAAATATAAAATCTTAATAATGCCATTACTGGTAACTTCAATAGTAGATGGACAGTGCCCCTCTATTTTGCAGGTACCTTGTGATTTTATAGCTCTTACACCTTTACTTTTAGAATTATAAAATCCAGATCGATTACAAAGGAAGTAACTCTTTTTCCCACCTTCTTTAAGAGTTATTGTACTTCTCAAAAAGTAAGAAATTTTTTCCCTTCGTTCTTCCTCACTTTTCCATTGTAAGAAATCTAAATTTGAAGGGTAAACATTAGCCTACATACAATATAAAAGCCCATTATAATTGTGAACTAGTGAATCTTTAAAACAAAATTACTAATTTAAAACTAACCAAAATCTTATTTTGGCACTGATTGTAAATAGATACTGGTCACTTTAGCAGAATTTTTTTCTCTTCAAGAAGAGGGACCTGTGTCTAATTGCTCTCAAAACTGATAGTTTTATTTAAAATCTACACTGAAATAAAGTTGCCGACTACATTTTTTAAGTTAGTACATTGGCATATTTTTCTTTCCTATTTGACAGTTACTAGTACTCGTGTTCCAGCTAAAAAAAGACTTAAAACATATTCCCCAAAGTTGTATAATAATGCAAGAAATTTATTCTTAAGAGACAAATTGTCATCAGACATTTTCCATAATAGCATGAGTGTCATCTGGCCTATGTCTAAAGTAAAAAAACATTGTAGCCTGTTTCTTGATAACTGATACAATGTGTATAGGTTATTAAAATATTAAGACGTCGAATAAATTTCTTTATTTTACTTAAGTAGTTTTAAAATAACATATAATAAATTTTAAGCCTCATTTACATATAATAAAATAAGTGTCTATCATTATGATACTAAACTTACGATTGAAGGTTGCCACTTTAATAAAGATTTTAACAATTTTTTTATTAGGTCCACATTATTTTTGATATCTTCATCATACATATGCATTAAGAGATCCGTTTGTGTAATAACAGGATAGTCTTTTTTTTTTTAATGAAGCACTGAATTACATGTATAAATAATTATGTAGCAGTACATCTCTATATATGTTTTTATTATTTAGAAAATGTTTACTTCATATTTCAAATAGTTGAGGAAGAGAAATATTACTTTGAAATATTTTTACTGAAGAATAATGGGGGTTTATCAGGCTAACAGAAAAAAGCAAGATGCTAAGGAAATTATTCTGTTATCAATTATACTCACAAAAATAGATGTATTTTATTCCCCAGCTTGATGAATGAATTTGCAAAAATAGTAATTTGTACTCAGTTTGGGGCTATTCAAATTAAAAACGTTTATCGCAGAAAATGCAAATTTCTAATATCTTACCTTCATATGTATTAAATGTCATTTCAACGGAGTTAAGAGTGTATCCATGTTGATCTCTTGCGTGATTTCTTAACTCTTCAAACGTTCTACATGAAAAATTGCAGGCATTAATAGGACATTTCAAATTTCCTTCAGCCACAACAGGTACTTTATGTACTTCCCGAATGTGTTCATATAAAACCTTTTTCTTTTTGTACTTTTTGCAGCAGCAGTACATACATTCAAATACTGCTATCTTTTCATATTCCATTGTTATAACAAAAAGTTATGTACTACAATAGAAAATAAAAAACTTATTTTGTCATCAGATCAGAAATATTAAAAAATGAATATAAAAACTGTATAGCATATGATATTAAAATATTTAATGTTTGACACAAAAAAAATGGTAGCATATGATATTAAAATATTTAATGTTTGACACAAAAAAATGGTAGCATATGATATTAAAATATCTAATGTTTGACTGAAACTAACACGGCTTGCTATTCTGAAACATTTTTCATTTTCCTTTCTTCAACAAAGGAAATTTCCGCTAAATTTATCTGTTCTCAAAAGGCAATATATGAATAATAAATAGATTACAAAAAGTTTGTCTCAAAAATAAATCCTTTACAATAATTTGTAATCACGTGTTTAATTACAAGCAAACAATACCTAAATTACCAATTAAAATATTTTATCAAAAAACACTTTTAGCTCGCCAAAAAATATCACTGCAGAGCTCAGAAAACAAGCAACCGAAAATGGCAGGTAATCCTGTGGGGTAAATCTAAATCTAAAACACCCCGCTTTTGACGTCACATGTGACGTGTACCGTTGACCAATCAAATTTTCCTGCCGAGTTGAAATTTAGTCGCTCCCTAAAAAATGCTACAAAAAAGGATGCCTGTTCCAAAAGAAAAATGTCGTATACTTATCCGTATGCTGTGACAATTCTTGTTTCTATATCCAAGAAGTGAATTGCTTAACTTAAACGAAAAATTCTAAAAAAATGAGAAGTGATTAGTGACGGGAGAAAAAAGTACATAAGCCTCTTTCTAACTCTTTTTAACTTGAAGGATCCAATGTAAATAAGTTAACCTGGCTGCTTTGCCAAATAAAAGACGACTTATGTAAGAATTTGCAAAAATTAAAAATATTTAAGCAGTTTTCTAATTGTTTGTAGTTTTTTTCGCTATTTAACAAATGTTTTAAATGTTTAAATTGTTCTCCAAGATTTATTTCTGAGTTCAAATATTCAAAAGTTTACTAAAAAATTTATTCAATAACATTTCCTATTCCAGCCACCTAAGTTCGCTTTCAAAAGTAATGTTAGATAAAAGAAAACCACTTTGTATTTTCAAAAACAAATACTTGGCAGACCATGTGTGGCATAGATAAAATAGTTGAATAATACAGATAAAATAATTAAGTTTTATATTCAAATAATAAATTCCAATAAATCGTTTAAATGAAGATTGCTAATAGAAAAACTGTAAATCCCTCAGGATATTGACTAAATAAAGCACTGCCTGAAATCCAATTTTTGTTTAAATTCAAATTATTGTTTTAAATTAAAAATATTATTACTTAGTATATTGAGATAAAAATTGTGAAATGAATCTCTCCATATGATAAGTTTTAAATAGTGTTTTTAGTGTTCTTCTTATGCTATTATGAATATATTTTCCTTTCTGTGTAATATTATTAAATGGCTAGGTTTAAATAAAAGTCTATTTGTACCTTAAAGTATCTTACGTTTTGGTGGCTAATAAGTTTGCGTTTTTGGTTACATTAAACCCATATGAACGAGTCTCTCCATATGATTTAGGCCGACGAAAGTAATATTAGACCTTTGCCGAACAAGATGGGCAATGCGGTATAAGGCGTACCAGCATTTTTATCAAAGCTTTTTCGATATAGTAATTGAAACTCTAGGGCACATTTTGTGCTCAACCAAACCAGATGCTTATATGCATAATCAGTGGAGTGCGCAATGTAAGCGAGACGCTAAATTCACTCATTTCATCTGCTTTCATTATAACATTCATAACAGCATATCATTATCGATTTCATTTAGAAGGAATTACGGTTAAACTTCAGAGACGACCTGTTGATATTGTGGAAGCCTATAACATGGTCCAGGAAATAATCGAGTTTTGTATTTATGAGCATTAAAATGTAGAAAAGAGTTTTGAGAGTATATTTGATCATAATGGGCAAATGTGTAAAAAATTAGATGATGTGGAAAAAAATTAGAAAATTAGAGCTTAAACTACCACTCATCATTCGGAAGCAAGTCTATTGAAATAATGCTCATAGTGATGCTTTCAATTATTACTAAACTATTTTAGCAATCCCTTTATACTTGACCATCTCATTTTCCATTTAAAATCTCAATTTTCAAATTTAGAAAAGACTGCATCATTCCTGTTTTGCATACAACCATTAGTTTGCGCTGATCGTGTGAATGAAATTGCTGTAAATGAGTTGAACGTGATACATAATTTACAGTCTCCGGAACTTCTAAACGAAGAGACGAAACGTTGGCGATGGTATTTACGGTCAATTCCCAAAGCAAAGCTCCCAAACACACCAATTTTGGCTTTAAAAGCTTCAAATAAAATATTTTTACCAAATATTGATGTGGTTTTGCACATAGCAGCTACACAGCCGATAACAACTTGCGAATGTGAACGTTCCGCAAGTGCCTTGAAAAGTTTAGAAAATTGTAATAGAGCTACTATTTCTTATTATTGTAATAGATTTCTTATTATTGTATTATTATTGTAATAGAGCAGAAATTCTTTGGCATTAATGCACATTCATTATACCAAAGATATATCAATTGATAAAGTTACTGTTGTATTTGCCAGTTTACAGCCACGGAAAATGGAATTCGGGAATATTTTAATTGCCGAACCAAAATGAAAGGCCAGAAAAATGTTTGCCTTTTTGAAAAAAATTTTTTTATTTGCAGTTTAATTTCAAACCAAAATAAATTAAGTATTTGCATTTTTATGTATTTAATTCAATATCTTTATTATATAATTATATAACAACAGAAATATGAATTTTATATATTATTTATCTTTATAGTTGTGTTATGAAAGTAAGATGAATTTCAAAATTCTTTTAATATTTGAATAATATTTTTAATTAGTTTAAAAAAAAATATTGAGTGATGCTTTTAACATGTTTTTAAGGTAATAATTATAAATACTATAATTAAATGCACTGTATCCGTAATGAGGTTACATAATTTTGTTATTAATAAAATTCATAATATAATTATTATTTATATTAAGATAATTGCCATTACCATAATATATTCGTCACTTAATAATCACTTATATATTTGAAGATGTTGTAATAGGTTAAACAGTATAGCCATGGGAGTCGTAACGGGCACCCCCTCTGTAATTTCAGTCTGGCTACACCCATGCATAGGGCTAAATTTCGGATTTAAATTTAGATCTCCAAAAGGTCTGTTATTTTGATACTGCCAGCTAAGAGAAATTTTACTGTATATCTAATAAAAAGGAATTTCAATGCTTTTAAATACGTGTTTATCATATACTGCATTTTAATAATTTAAAAAAATTGTCAATGAATAAACCTTAGATATAGAAACATACAATTTGATATTTTTGTAGTCGTGCATTAGATTTGTATTCAGAAATTTAAAATAAATAATTTTATAATTTTATATGCCATCATTGTCGTCTTCCCAAAACCGAATAAAAATTCCACGTTTCCCTAGAATTAACGCCCAATTAGCCTTCTCAGTCAATTTTCTAAAATAGCAGCTGAAAAATTATTTTTTTATCATCTTAATCAAATTATTCCACAAAGCGCCTACATTCCAGAACAGAGGCGTAGCTAGGGTTTTCAGCGCCCGGGGACAACTGAAGATTTTGCGCCCCTTTCTCTGTGCCATGAAAGGAAAGCATTTCATTCTAAAATTTCTGAACATCAATTTGGCGCCCCCCTGAATGCTGCGCCCGGGGACAGATGTCCCCCTTGCTCCACCCTAGCTACGCCACTGTTCCAGAAGAACAAATGGCTCCTGACATCTTCACAGTACTAATCACCAGATGCTTCGTGTCATCAACTACATGCTGACGGTTTCAATTTTAAATGCTTTACCGGAGTTTCTGAATTTTCCTTGACATTGCGAAAGCTTGAGATAGGGTATGGCACTGGGCACTTATCTACAAATTTATCAAGTGTAACTTCTCATATCATTGTATTAGACTTATGGCTTCCTATCTCCAAGACGGAATTTTTGAAGTGAAAAATTGCAATACTGTTTCTACAACGAGAAACATCTTCGCTGAATTTCCTCAGGGACCAGAACTTTCGCCATATTTCTAAATTATAATATATATATTCGCCATTTACACTTACGATATTTCTAGAGACTCATAAATTACCATAGCTCTTTTTGCAGATGACAGTGCAATTATGAACCAAGCTTTCAACATTACCTCAATATTATAGAAAATTGGCTCACTCATTGGAGGTCTACAGTTCATACTGAAAATTCAAAAGCAGTAATTTTTTATAAAGGGCAAGCACATTTCACACCCCGCAGACCTCTTCTGTTTGAGGAAGCAATTGACCGGGTCGGCGAAGTGAAATATCTAGCAGTCGTTCTAGATAAAAAATTGACTTTTTAGAAACATCTCAGGGTAACTGTGCAAAAGAGTAATATCACGCTTGCAACTATGCTCCCAGCTCTTGGCTCAAGAAGTCATATGGCCTTTAAATAAACTCCTCTTATATAAATCTATACAAGACCAGCATTATTCTATCCTAGTCTTGTCTGGGGCCACGCTGCCAAACTTACTTTCAACCAGTGTAGGATTTACGTATAAGCTATACAAGTTATAACTTAGAGTCCCACTTTCTTGCGAGCCCCCCCCAAATTAAAATATAGTATTAAAATATAGATTAACAGACTCATAAAGGTTCCCATATCTCAAATAGCTTAGGGCCTTATCAAGTCTAAATTCGGCTCTGCCTTCAACATATCCAGGTTCTTCAAAACAAAGCATTTAGAGAGATTATCAACGCGCCATGGTTCATTTCAAATTCGTATATCCACCGTGATCTCAAAGTAGACACAATTCAAAATTATATTCAAAAACTTGCCAAACATTTCCTCTATTCAGTTCTCACTCATCCTAACAATCGCATCAACTCTCTTAGATGTTTTCCATTTCCCAGAGAAAAATCCTATTATCCATCTGACATTCTCCACCCTTATTTTACTCATACAAGACACTTCAACTCATTTTATTCGTTGACTGATGGCGGCCACTTAATAGTTTCGTTTCGTTTTGTCCATACTTCTCATTTTGTTCTACCGATGGTCTTCAGAGTAAAAGGAAGCACTGCTTTCTGACTCTATAATATTTTAGTAGTAGTTTAGCAGCAGCATTATCCTTTCGGCTACTGTTAGAGTCCCAGGGCGAAGTTGTTGGAACAGTTCGCTGCTTTTGTTTGTGAACCACTAAAATATATGTGATCTTATAAAGAATCTTAATCCACGCGTAGTATTTTTTAATATTCTTTATTATTTTGCGTACGTTTCGTTAAAATTTAGAAAAAAATTACATCTTTCATTTTTAATTCTATTTAAACTCCATCGCTAAAAACACGGCAAACTCTCATTATTTTCCTGTTCGAGGGAAACATTACCTTCCTTTAGGGAAAATTGGCAACAAATTCGTCGAATCAAATCTTGCAGCGTTTTTATTTTTTTATTTATTTTTTTTTGTTTTTGTTGACATATGATCAAGAATTGTAAGAAAAGGTTGTGAGAAGTTTCGTAGAGAACATGGATGAGTACGAATCTACTGACAGGTAAACGTTAATTTAAAATTCAGTTAGTTTACTAGTTTGGCGTTTTTGATAAAAATGCTTCAGTTTAAAAACTTGTTTTCTTTGATTCTGATCTTCTATTCATAAGATTAGAGAACTGTTTTTCGGATGAGATAATTTTTTTTTTCCCCCAAAAAAATTTCGCTGTTCCATTAATATGGGATGTAGCGAAACACACATATCAACAGTGCGTATAATTGTTTTAGGTTAGTACATTTCGCTTTTGTTGGTGCCTTCGTTGATTTGCTACCGATTTTCTCTTTGTGGTTATTCATTGCATATACTTGAAAAAAAAAAAGAAAAAAAAGAAAAGAAAAAAGAAAAAAAGCTGAATTTTCTAGAACTGCATTAATTGAATACGAGAAACGAATGTTTTTTCTAAATCCTCATAATGGTAATTTTTCCAAATCCCGAAAAAAGTTAAAAATTCGTTTTTTAAAAATATGTATACTATACCATATTAACTAAATTTTGTAATCTCTTTCTAGATTTTTTATTTTAAAATTTATGATGGACCTCTAATCAAAATTTGATTCACTTTAGTCTTTTGAAATTTGAATTAGTGATATTCATTTTCATCAATATTTTAAATATTTGTTGGTTTAGGACTTCGATTTCAGTTTCTCACTGCATTCCTTTATGCTGTTCGGCTGAGTGAATTCAATTTTTTAATTTCTTAAAAAATTGAACATCTTAAATTTAAGGTACTTTTGATGGTTTTTCTAAAAGCAGATGGTGGAACAATAAATTCTGATTTTTTTATGTTGAACAGGGAGCTAACTTTTCTCCTTTACTAATGTACTTTCATTTATAAGAGTATTTAAGAAAACGTTGAACCTCTGAGACACATGGTCACAAATTTCATCTGAAATGAAAATCTCAAAATTTTACTGCCTAAATTTTGAATCATTTTTACATGTAAATTTAATCAATTATATCTCAATTTTATGCCTGTGAGACAGGTTCCTCGAACATTACATCTGTGGCATAGTTGTGATTTCAAAAGATTAGTTTGGGTAACATTTAGATTTAATATTATTATGCTGTTATATAAACTGTTATTATTTGTAGCACATGATAGATGTTTTTTTATGTAAATTGGCAAGAAATAAGTGTAACTGATTGGATATAGGTTTGATATTTATTAAAGCATATTTATAAAGTATGCTAATAATAAGGAGGATCTTAAAAAGAAAGGCTAATCTTTGGAATATAGTAACTGATACTTTGGCGACATTTTGGTAAGGCGATAAAGGTTACTAGCTAGGACTTTGGCAGTGTACATGGATAAAGTCAAGAGTGTGCGCAATGCCATTTTTGTGCAATTCTGGGATTTTTTTTTAAGTGAAAATATTTCGACGTGTACATGGATACCGTGTATGTGCACTTCTTAAAAACGCGGCAAGCAGTGGGCGATTCTGCACTTTCTCCCAATTTCTCCCCTAATCTTCATCATGATTAAGCACTTTTGTTTCGTAAAAGTTCTAGCATAAGCGTAATTCGGCTAGCAGATTGTTGGAAAAAAATGTTGAGTAAAGAAAAAAACATGCCTTTACTTCGTGAAAGCAAAATGGCATCCAAACAAAAACTAGCAGGTTGCTGTAGCAGGGTTGGCCGCCAAATTTTCGCCAAAAAATCGCTAAGTTACCATAATCCAAAGATTAACCAAAAGGGGCTAATTAATTTTTACATGCAGATAATTGTTATTGAGGAAAATGATAAGTCGTCAAATTTATTACATAAAGAGAAAATACATCAACTAATACAATATAACAAATAATAATTCATCCATCTTTTCAAGTATTCATATAAGAATTGAAATTGTTGTAATAAGTACAAATTTAACTAAATTTATGTGAAAAACATTAATAATTTATAAGACTGTTATAAAAATTACAACACATGAAAGTAGTGTCGATAGTTTGAATGATGTATTATGTATATGATAAGAATGCTAATGTTAGTAAAATAGTGCACAAGATTGCAATGGATTCTATACAAGGTATGTTGTTCATTGTGTTGTAAATTATTGTTTCTTATACCATTTAACTTTAATTTTGCATATTCTTATTTATTGTTTGTTTTTCTGTAAAAATTATATACAATAGAAAAATAGGGTTTTTTTCCTTCATTACTGCATGCCATCATGGTATAATAGGAAAGCTCAACTGGCAGGCAAATGGGAAGGTCCAGAATTCTAGTCCTGGCAAGGGCATCACACATTTTCCATGCCTCCTGCGGGAGAAAGGTTCAAAATTCAAGTCCTGATAAGGCTTTGCACATTTAGACGTGCTTCAAAAAAGTGCCAAATAGTCTCTATGATATACAATGCAAATCATTTAACACGAAACTGAGGGCATTGAAATATTTTTTCGTGTTGAAAGGATATTGGGGGGGGGATATATTCAACAAAATTAAGTTTATTAGTGTACATTTTATTTACATAGATCTGTATAATTGCAGGTATTTAATAAAAATCAATGAAACACAAAAATCCACAAGGACTTAATTTAATACAAAATTTTCAAGTTTTCTGAAAAATCAAACATTTATTGAGTTTTTGAAAAATAATCTGCTATTTTTCTTTATGTTGTCTTTTTTAGTATCAAATTGTTCGATGTCGTCCATTTTGTAATTCAGTTCAACATTGGAATGTGCATCTAAATAACTGCTCATACTTTTCACGATGTTCCTCATTTCGAATAACCTGGAAATAAGAGCTGCATTATTCATTTTATTTTCGTTGTCGGAATCTGCATCAATGATATTTTTTTAGCTTTGAACAAACTCCAAATTCTCTGCTATAATTGGGGCTGTACACACATTATCATCATCTACTGCAACAAATTCTTCCGATGATACAGTAAGACAGTCTAATACAGTCAAAAGTCTTTAATCCGGACTCGTTGGGACTTCGGCGATTCCGGATTATCGATTTTTCCGGATTATAGATCGTCAGTTTAAATCTGGTAAGATGGCATGCAGAAATTGTAAAATTAAAAATATGAAACTGTAATTTATGAAATAAAGAGCAATTATCATCTAAAGGGTATCAAAATTTGCAAAAAAAAAAGGCTTAATATTTATTTGTTTACTTTATTAAACATTTCTTTCAACGCGCGCATGCGTAAAGCGTACATTACGCATAGTGAAAATTAGAAAATTGCAACAAGAAAACTATTTGATGTGTATTCGTGATATTTATAATGACGAGGAATTTGATTTAAATCATATCAAAGACAGAGTACATCGAGATGAAATACTACATTTAGTAAGGAATTATAAGCCGAATAAAATGAAGACATCTGCCCTGAAGATAAGGATAGTGCTGACAGATCAATTTCCAGTTCAATGCGTGCTGGGATGTCCCCCACCGCGCAGAGCGGCGTGAAATTGACAAACAGATTTCGGAATGGTTAGAGAAACAAAGGAGCCTTTATTCATTTTTTTGCAGCAATTCCACTTTTTGTTTGATGGACATTGAAAAATTCTTTCCCTTTGTAGATCCAGCATCAGAAATTCTATTTGACATAATCACAAGTTCCAACTTACTTTTATAAAATTGCTCTAACAGTCTGCAAAAAATAATAAGCCGGATCCAATTCGAAGATTAAGGAACAAAACGCAATCTGCAACATTAACTGAAATAGATAATTAGATAATTTTAGCTTACCTTATACTGTCCGTTATACATTAAATGTGCATGCGTAAACGTATTATGCGCATGCGACGAGGTATTATGTGCAATTCGTTGACGCATGCGCAGATAGTTTGTAGATTTGAGGTCCAGATTAACGACTTTTGACTGTAATACAGAAACGTTCTCAAACATTTCATTAAGTGTCGGCTCAGTTTCAATATCCTTCTTCTCCATTTTGTTTGGCGCGGACCAAACTCGCTGATTTTTTACACACATTGCGAATATCGCCAACTGTGTTGTGTTAGATTTTGGCTATTTTTTGTAATACAGTCAAAAGTCGTTAATCTGGACTCGTCGGGACTTCGGCGATTCCGGATTATCAATTTTTCTGGATTATAGATCATCACTTTAAATCTGGTAAGATGGCATGCAGAAATTACAAAATTAAAAATATGAAACCATAATTTCTGAAATAAAGAACAATTATGATCTAAAGGGTATCAAAATTTACAAAAAGAAAAAGCTTAATATTTATATGTTTACTTTATTAAACATTTCTTTCAATGTAAGTTGTTTAAGTTGCTTCGTTTCATGTGATACCTTCTCTTTAATTCTATTAAACAGACATAATTTCTTGTTTAGTTACAAAGTTTTGCTGTTCAAGTCCTATAATTGCTGTGTCGAGAATACCCACTAATTTGTCAATCGAAATGTTTTCGTTTTCAATAACCTCTCTGTCACTTTCTTCACTATTGGAAGCGAATTATAATGACGAGGAACTTGATTTAAATCATATCAAAGACGGAGTACATCGAGATGAAATACTACATTTTAGTAAGGAATTATAAGCGAAATAAAATAAAAACATCTGCCCTGAAGATAAGGATAGTGCTGACAGATCAACTTCCAATTAATTGCGTGCCGCGGCGTTTCTCCCCCCCTCTGGCGCAGAGCAGCGGGATTTCAAAACATACTTTCACTTTGTAGATCCTTTACATATTAGTAAATATATATCGGAAATTCTATTTGACATAATCGAAAGTTCAAGCTTACTTTTATAAAATTGCTGTAACAGTCTGCAAAAAATAATAAGCCGAATCCAATTCGAAGATTAAGGAACAACGCAATCTGCAACATTAACTGAATTAGATAATTTTAGCTTAGCTTACACTGTCTGTTATACATTAAACGCGCATGCGTAAACGTATTATGAGCTCGTGCACACGCATATTCGCAGCCGTAAAGGTTTTACGCGCACGTGTAAACACCTATGCGCATGTGTCAACGCGACGCATGCGCAGAAAGTCTGTAGCTTTGAGGTCCGGATTATGGGTGTCCGAAT